ATAAAATCTCTAGATTTTATATTTAAGCATGTAAAATAGTAGTATAAGCATCAATATCATACTATATAATAAGAATATAAATTATAACACCCCCTACCTCAATTTGAGATGAAAACCTCAAAGGCCTACCGAAAGAAAAGTGCTCCGAATCCGACGATGCCGAAGGGTTTTGTCTGGGACAACACGGTGAACAAAAATCCCTAAGAAGCCCCATGAAAATCACAACTTGACTTCAAACCCAAACTTGAAAAATGGTCAGAAATGAGTTCTAATAAGGGTGAAAGATGCGCGTCGTCAAGACAAGCATTAAATGTTAAGGTACTACGATGTTTCACTCGAGGGAAGTGACCGGAAAAAGAAGAAGAAGGGTGGCAGCCCCTTGGCAGCCATGGCTGCCGGCCAAGAGAGATGAGAGAGAGAAGAAAATCTAAATTTTTTCTCTTTAAGTCTCCTATTTATAGAAAATCTCAAAAAAGTGCCTCGAAAGGGCCTCGCCGAGCCTGGAAAAGTGAAATCTGAGCAAAAGTGCTCAAACGGCGAAACTCTATGAACAAAAAAGATTCTAAACAATAAAATATGAACAACGGAAGAAATGGCGTCAAAAAGCGAGTCCCAAGCAGAGAGATATGCCCCGAACAAATTCGGCGCAAATCGGGTTCAGAAACTCTAAAACTGGAGAAAAATGACCAGAAGGAAATTTTAAGAGTACACTACTTGATGAAATGTGAAAATGAATCTTGTACGAAGATCCAGGCTCCAGGAGAGATATTTTTGCAATAACTTTCATTAATTGCACAATGACCCCTCTAAAAAGTGAAAACTGCATTAATATCCCAGAATGAAAATATCTTCTAAAAATATTTTTTAAAAAACCCCTAAAATAAAATATCTTCAAAATATATTTACGAAAAACACCCCAAGAAAAGAAAAAGATTCTGAAAAACTGTGCATCCATGCCCCTATGGACACCAGGAGCAACCAGAGTACTTTTTTGCAAAAGTAAAGATACGTATTTCGAGGAAACCACTGAAGATGAAGACACATGAAGTCAAAAACCAACTCCGAGCATGAAAAGTGAGGTTGTGCCAAAAATTGACAAACGGAGAAAAGACATAATAGAGAAAAGGACAAAAAGTAAATAGTGTCCGAAAAGTAAAAATGCGGAAATAACTCGGTCCTCAAAGGAAGTTGTCAATCCGCACGAAAGAGTCTCAGAAACTAATTCCAAGCACTTGAGATGACACTATATGATAAGAAACAGAACTCAGAAAAGAAAATTAAACAAAAAAAATTTATCCGTAAAATTTTAGGAAAAAAAAAAGGAAGGAAAAGGACCAGGTCATTACATTTAGTGTGTATATTTATATACTTATCGACTATGTGGCTATGGCATGAGTTAGCTTTAGATGTGTAGTTTTCAGGTCTCTGTTTTGGTTGTCGTAGAAATAACTTGTTTGTGGACCTGACCAACTATTTATTTTTCAGGTCCATAGGTTTATCAAGTGTAGATATTATTTGTGCAGAGCAGAGACTAGTTATCATCACACTTCTAGTCATCTACATAGGATTCTAGTTTATATTTCAGTATTCAAATGTAGATAGTTATTTTAGTTTGGGATTTTATAAGGGTCCACATATAGATTTCCGAGTTGTATTTTTGGAGGATTATTGTATCAGAGAAATTTATTATTTAATGAAATATACTTTGAGGATTTAATTATTATTGTAGTCTTCCTTTCAGTATTTTATTTATTCTTTATTTATCTTTTTGTATTATGTATTCGATTATTGCCATATTGTTTTTTATATTTCGTTGCTTTTCGGGTGTGGGTCTGGCAACCTACACGTGAAAATTCAGGGGTATAACATGGGCACAGGCTTAGAGGATTGGTGCATGTGTCTATGAACATTTTAAATATTGCTAACTACTAATATAAAAAAATAAAGAAAAAAATTCAATTAAACTTATTGACAAGAATTTACTCTTTTGTGATGAAATATCATTTGTCGCTAAAAGATAAAAATTGATGACAAATAATTTGTCACTAAAAATCTATCAATGGCGACAAAGGCAATTTTTGTCACTAGAGTGTAGTTTTCTGGGACAAAAATTCATCGTCACTAAATGATAATAATTAGTGACAATATGTTGTCACTAAAAGTCTATTTATTGTGACAAAGTGAGTTTTGTCACAATAACTCAACCTTTTGCGACAATGCATCATTTGTCACTAGAATGTTGTTTGTAGTGACAACAAATTTTGTCGTTAAAATGCCATTAATTGTGACAAAACTATATTTGTCACAATAACTCAATCTTTTGCGACAATGCATCATTTGTCACTAGAAGGTTGTTTGTAGCGACAATAATTTTTGTCGTTAAAATGCCATCAATTGTGACAAAACTATATTTGTCATAATAACTCAATCTTTTGCAACAATGCATCATTTGTCATAAAAGCTTGTTTGTAGTGACATCAATTTTTGTCGTTAAAATGCCATTAATTGTGGTAAAGCTATATTGTCACAATAACTCAATCTTTTGCGACAATGAATCGTTTGTCACTAGAAGGTTGTTTGTAGCGACAACAATTTTTGTCATTAAAATGCCATCAATTGTGAAAAAGCTATATTTGTCACTAAAATCTAGTTAATCGCGACAAAGCTATATTTGTCACTATATTGTAATTAGTTGCGACAATATATTTGTCACTAAAATTAATTTTGTCGCCATACCATTTCCCGCCATATGGCCGGATGTGAGGAAATTCTCAAGGTAAATATTGCAACCACTTTTTGTGACAAATTTGGTTTTTGTCGAGTAAAGTTAGCTTAAGGCGACAAAGTTACTTTTTATCACAAAAGGTTATTTTATTGCGACAAATTCATCTTGTCGCTATAGTTTTTGTCGCCAAAGACCAAATTTGTAATAGTGAGGCTAGAATTTGATTCTATGTCCTTAAGACAGATTCGTTCTGCTATGGTGCTGACGGACTCTGTAGCGTCCTTCTCCTAAGATACAAAGGCCATTCTTTCTTCAGTAGCAGCACTGTAAATCGAAGAAATGGGTGAACCGATTCGGTGTTATACTCTTTCTCTAAACCAAACTCAAACTCACACACTAACACTACGTGTATGCAAAGGAGGGAGACGAAAAAAAGAGAGAAAAACTCAGAAGTAGAGAAGATTTTTGAGTTTTTAGTGTATTTTGCAAATGACCCAAGGTGGGTATATATAGGCATGCATGTGCTTTTTCGGTTGACCCGAACAGCCACGGGACATAATGGTTCGGCCTAAACCATCACTGAAAAATGGAGTGCACTAGTTCACACAAGTTGCAACCCTTAGATGCACTGGTTTAGACAGACACAACTATTCGTAAGTCCAACCCAATTCAAAACAATGAAACCCACTAGAGTAAGCCACACCTAACCCAAATATAAAATTAAGCCTAACCACCAAGGCCCAGATCAAAATTATGTTTAATAAAAAATTAATTAGATTTTACAATTCCCTTGGGCCCAAATCCAAAATCCAAACTTCGGCTATATATACACTTACTAGCTTCACTTTGTTTTCAATGTGGGACAACCACTTCCCACATATACATACCCGGCCAGTTAAACTTATCAAAACACCTTACTTTGGAACTAATTTCTCATTCACTCGGAAACGGATTGGAGAACGTAAATATACTACATTCATCTCCTTGCAGAGAATAACGCGCTCATCTATATATCCGCAAGAAATTATTAGCGGAACCTACTTTAAATTCCATCCAAAGTTTATGTTTTATATGCTCTGTTTCCAACAGTTTCATTGTGATTTAGGATTTTCTATCATTATAAATACATGTAATGTAGAGAGCAGAATCACCTATTCAATTATCAATACAACATCAGATTTATTTTGTAAATTTATTTCTCAACTTTGTGAATTCAAAATTATTTATAGTTCCTTGTGAACTTTCATATCTTCCGCTTACATAATTATTATAGTATACTGAAAATAAAGTTAGGCTGGAAAATTGAGGGACTAGTAAACCTGTGAATTAGGGAGAGTGGACTAAATAAAATTTAATAAACCTTGTCGCATAATCATATCTTATTTTCTTTCCAAGCCAAAGGTAGAGAGTTGATCAAAGTCCTCCCTATAGCATTATGGAAGTCATTGGGAACCAAAAAAAAAAAAAAAAAAAACAACGAAAAAGAAAATGTGTGGATTAATTTCATGATTTAGTTACTTGTAAACTCCTCTTCTTTTTTTTCTTTTTTTCTTTTCGTTTTTTTATTTTTTTGAGTTAATTTCTTTGTTCTAGCTGACTTGCTGCTCTAATTATTCATTGATCACATGTATATATATTTTTGTTGGTGATGGTGCTAGAGGTGGTGGTGTTGGTGTTTGTGTTTATTTTTTCTTTTTTGGTGGGATATTCTTAGGGGCGAAGGGCATAGTCTTTTCAAAAACAAAAGGGGGGTAGTTATGTCCCTCTCTTTATCAATGTATTCTTCACATATTCTTTACTTAAAAAATAGAATTCAAGCCAACCTTTGGAGACTATATGAATAATCCGAGGAATGATTTCAACATCTCAATTTAAAATATGTACTACTTTGGCTTGGCTGACTCACCGTCCTGAAAACTATTCAATTTATTAGATTGATTTTTTAATTGAGGAAATATGTCACTTGATGCAATAAGTGAAACTCAAACCATTTGATGCAATAATAATAATAGCCAATGTACCAATAGATGATCACAATCAATTAAATATTTAGAAGCCATGTGCAACAAACCTTTGCCCTCCATGTGCTAAAGGTTTTTTTTTATACGCAAATGTGTTCTATTAAAATATTTTAAGGTAATAAAGAAAACAATTAGTACTCTATTTGGAATCAATTGAATATTTTTAATTATAGTTGTCACAAGAGAGCCTCTAGCCTCGCACCATAAATACCACCTCCAGTTTAAAGTTTCTTCACAACCCTAGCTAATATCAATCTCTCTCTCTCTCTCAAATCTGTTTTTAGACATCATGGGTGTCATTTGTTATGATATTGAGATCACTTCCTCAATCCCTCCTGCCAAGATGTTCAAGGCCTTTGTTCTTGACGCTGACACTCTCATCCCCAAGATCTTGCCACAAGCTATCAAGAGTGTCGAAATCCTTGAAGGAGATGGAGGACCGGGAACCATCAAGCTCACCACTTTTGGCGAAGGCTAGTCTCTACCATCATTAGTTACTATATATATATATATATAATTTTATATTTTATGATTTCTTAAAAACAATTTTCAAAAAACTGAGCGACTATATTTCTTGATTATGGTTATATAATTTATTTCACTAAAAAAATAATGAAAATATGACATTTTTGATTTGTTGATATGCAGGAAGTCAATACCAGAGCGTGAAGCAAAGGGTTGATGGGATCGACAAAGAGAACTTCACCTACGCATACAGCATAATCGAAGGTGATGCTTTGATGGGCGTGGAATCAATCTCTTACGAGATCAAAATCGAAGCCTCTGCTGATGGAGGATCCATTTGCAAGAACAGTAGCAAGTATTACACCAAAGGCGATGCCCAAATCAACGAAGAACAAATTAAAGGTGGCAAAGAAAAGGCCTCTGGAATGTTCAAGGCTATTGAGGCCTACCTCTTGGCAAATCCTGATGCCTAGAGTGTCTTCTATATATTGAAATATATAGTCCCATGTGCGTGTTTCTGTATTCTATGTTAAAATTGTGGTTTCCATTTTTCTACTCCTGTCTAAAATTTTCTTTTTCCTTGATAATAAGTATGTTGTGGTTGTGATCAAGTTTCTTGTATTGCCAGATTTGATTGAAGAGTCCATGTACTTGATCTTTTACAAAGAGTTCCAAAGTCTGCTGTTGATTAATTAATTAAGCAATTAGTCATTATCTCTGAACTTGCAACTTTCCAGCTCAATTTACTATACATACATGTATTTTATTTCTAGTTGTAGGTAATCAGGGAAGGAGCCAGAACTTCAAGATGGGGGAGGAAGGATTTTAACTCTATAACAAAAAAATTTTAAATTTATAAATTTGTAATATAAATTTTTTTAAATACTAGTAAGAGTATATATATCTTGAAAAAATTAAAAAATGAGAAAAATACAAGTTAGACAAAAAAATAAATAAATAAATAAATTGATGTTAGAAAGAAAATTATGGAGAAGAAATGTAAAGAAATAAGCATTGTTAGAAAATCAATTTTCTTTATCAATTGTTTCAGTTTTTCAAAAATCTAATTTTTGGTAGAAGAAAATTAAGTGCTTTGATTCCACTTCAAAAAGATATACCTAGATGAGATTAGAAAAATATAATGAATTTTAACTCAAAAAAATTATTTTAAATTCAACAAGATTATTATTGAGTTATTAAACAAGATACAAATAGTTATAAAATTTGTTATTTAGAAAGTAATAATTAAAAGTATTAGCATATATGATATTATTATTGATGTTGAGAGTTTCAAAATGCTTTAGTTTATCTTCTTTTCAAATATTTCTAGAACTTACCAATAAATATTGTTATATAATTTTAGATATTTTTCTTGTAATACCATTTTACAAAAATGTTTGACAAAAAATGATTCATGCATTTTTACCAAACATGAGGGAACATTAGTTATTTTATGCATTTTTTTTTTTTCTCTCTTGAATTAATATTATTAGATATTGTACAACTATAATAATTATTTACCAAAAAAAAACTGGCTATAATAATAATTAGAATTCTACAACAAATTAATGTTCTTGCCACAAGACACTTCGTGGCAAAAACCTTCAAATTTCGTGACGAAAGCCTTTTAGCCACAAGAAATAGCTCGTGGCTCAGTCGTGGGCATAACCCCGTCACAGATTGCAAATAACCACAACTAAAAATTTTCGTGGCAAAATGTGAAACTTTTGCCACAAAATTTGAACTCGTGGTAAAATACCTCCTATCGCCACAAACTATTTCGTAACTAAATAACAATACTTTCGTAGCAATTAGCAATCTCGATATAGGAATTAATCGTGGCTAATTCAATACCTTTGCAACGAAAATATATATCGTGACTAATTTAACCCTTTTCCCACGGAATTCATTCGTGGCTATAAATCTAATTACTCACGAATATACGTCGTGGCAATTATCCAAAAAGGCCACAGAGTTCATTCGTGGCTATAAATCTAATTGCCCACGAATATACGTCGTGGCAAGTATCCAAAAAGGCCACGGAGTTTATCCATGGCTATTCTATTATTAATAAAATAAAATTTAATTTAATAACCAAAAATATATATTGTGGTAAACACAAAAAATATGCCACATATTTATTGTGGCACGATAAAAATTTGTAACAAACCTGTAAATTATTAACATTATAAACATAAGAAATAATATCAAAAAAAAAAAAAATATCACATCAACACGATTATGCAAACAAATAAATACTTGATATTGCATAAGTTACACCAACAAAAAAATGTATTGTTTACAACATACATAATAAAGCCCATCGCGTAAAAAAATGAGTCTTCGCAACTAAAACAATTTCAACTCCAATAATTTGAACCAAAACAAGCTAGTATCTTAAATAAAATCTTTCAAGATCTTAGACAAAAATGTGCTATAGATTCCTAAACAAAGGGCTTAAAGACCTGGACATACACTACTTAAACCATCTTAAACAAAAAGAGCTTGAAGTCTCATAGCATGAGCCCATCCAAAAATCTGCAAAACAAACACTGAATAAATACAATTAGTGCATATGTCAAAAAAAATGAATCCAAGAAAGAGTATAAATAGAGAATAAGAATATCAATTCATCTTCTAGATGATAAGGAAAAGTACAAAATAAAAAAGACAAAATACTACTATTAAGATTTATCACTAACAAGCTAAGCTTTGAAAAATCAACATCCGTTAAGAATATCTACTTTGTGAAACAAAATTGATCATCATACTTTTTTATAAGCTCGTCACTGCTTACTAACTTAAAATTTCTATTAGGTAGAGAATTAAACCATGAGTTTTAATAACTCAAATCACATAACCAGACTTTTACTATAAACTATTGGGCTATTACACCAAGCTAGAAGTTACTAACTTTATTTTTAATCAATCGACTAGTTAGTTTTACATAATTTTTAATGTTAACTTTTTTTAATTTACTTTGGCTAAATAATTAATTGTTTAGACAATCAAAATTAACCAAACAAGAAGAGTTTAACCATTCCATAAAACCATACACAAGATCAATTCTGACATGGATACCTATAATTGCGATTTAGAAGGGTACCTATAATTGTGATTTAAAAAAAAAAAAAAAAAAAAAAAAAAAAAATCACTAAAATTTCATGTAAAAAAAAAAAAAAGAAAAGCCTGCTTAAAAAGGATAAAACCTTAGCACACCAAGAAAATATTGAATTTGACTATTAGTCACTATTTTCATTTGATAATGATAAGAAAAACCTACTCAAAAAAAAAGATAAAAACCTTAAACAATTCATAAGTCAACTCAAAAAAAGATAGTGTCCCTTATGTGGTTTTACAAACCAATATTAACAAAGAATGTCTTTATAAGTTGAGTATCTCATTGATTATTCAATCCTAATTTCCATCCCTTCGTCGATCATATTACCATTAATTTAACCAATATTTTTATTTCCAATTATTGTCTAGACCAAACGTCACGAAGTTAGATGCAGACAACCATCAAGTTATTGACACAATTTGACTAAGTACGTAGAATCATTATGATCATAATTTCACTGAGAAACCATAGTATGTATTATTTGATACAATTATTAGAATAAAAAGGAAGAACAAAAAAAGGAAGAACAAAAAATTACCACATTACTTTCTGAGGAACAAAGGCTGCTATTACCTTTGAAATATAACTAAGAAAGTAGCATGATTGACAATAACCCATTTTGATCTAGTTGTGTTATCCTCCCACTTTACCTGCAATGGAAAGGCAAATTTTTTATATAAAATCACTAACATTAGAGACTTCTCAACCAAAATAGCACTCTAACAACTTGTAAACAAATCCAAACCAGCTTGAAATTGGACAAATTTTAGTTTGGCTGGCCAGATCGTTTAGAATTGCCACCCTTAGCTGCAAGTTCGAACTAATATATCAAAGAGAACTTAAAGGTATGAGAGGCATATTTTCACAAGAACAATTGCTTACCTGAAATCTTACCAGGCATCAATTTGTTAGGTAGAAGTAAAAAAGAAAAATAGATGGGACTTATCCAAATAGACATTGCATAGCCGTCTTATCCTCACATTTATGGTATTTCCATGGTACTTGATTCCTAAATGAGACTTTTAGATGCCTACAACTTTAACTCAATTTGAATACAAATTACAAGTGTACTTGATTTCAGGTGCTGCAATGGAGTTGGTTAAGATTATAAATAATAGAACACAATACAAATAAAAATAAAAAGAACCATAGGGAAAAAGACTCGACAAAGATCTTTGGAATGATAGTTAAACTTGAGATATCTACCCACAAGATAACTAATAATGATTTTTTTTCCCCAACCAAAAGAGATGTACCTTTGTTTCTGAATTCTTCTCGTCAAGTTCCCTCATGCCCTTACGTGATCTCAATGTATGGCAGATGTTTTCGAGTCAATCAACTAGAAATTGCTACCAAAAAAACCGAAACTGATAGAATGAAATGTGATTCTAAAGCCACAAGCTTGGATTTTTCCAATTGAAACACTTCCACTGGACAATTAAGACTATAAACAATAATAAAAAATTAACGAAAAATAAAAAAGTACATAAATTTCCATTGAGACAATTTCTCAAACACAATGTATGCGCACAAGAAACTTTCACCTAATGAATTCTAATCTTCAATCTATCTTCAAATATGGAAATCAAATTAAAAGAATACAAATACATGATATTCAACGAAAATAAAAATAAAAAATACAGATTATTAGACGATATTTGAAGAAAATATGAAGGAAAAAAAAAATCAACAAATATAAGATACTTGTCCTGCTACAATGCTCGTGAAGTAAAAGTTGAATAGTTTGCTTCATCCACCAATAACAAACCCTAGATTACATTCAAAACAAGAGAAAAAATACATCAAATGTTTTTAAGAAAATTGAACAAATATTAAAAAAAAATTAGAAATAAAATTGATTGAAATTTAAAAACCTGATATGCTTAGGCTTGAATGGATTTCAATGAAACTCTATTGCTCGCTTATAGATTTTAGAGAGGTAGAATCCTTCTCCATATTAGTTGCTGGTGCATCTCCTCCTCCTCTTGACCCCAACCAATGCCAACATTTCTCTCCAAAATTTCCCTTAAATTAATAAACCCTAAACAACTTATTGAACGTCAAAATCCGCATCAAATCCCCAATACAGAGTGAGAGTTCCTACCAGTGATAGAGAGATAGAGTGGAAGATTGAATAAAATCCCCAATACAGAGTAAGAGCTCCTACAAGTGATAGAGAGATCGAGTGGAAGATTGAATCAAATCCCTAATATAGAGTGAGAGCTCTTTCTGGTGACAGAGAGATCGACTCGAAGATTGAATCAAATCCCCAATACAGAGTGAGAGCTCCTACCAGTGATAGAGAGATCGAGTGGAAGATTGAAGAACAGATCGATTAGATGTGGTATTCTCCCCTATGGAAGAGAGTTTGCTGACAGTAGTGGCGAAGGGAGAATGAGAAACCGTATGTTTCGTTTAGCATCCCAATAGGGTTTTCCTTCTCAATTGGCGAAATTCCAGGCGCGAAACTTTGGCGCTTTCAAAGTTGAAAAAACAAAATTAATACGCAATATAAAATTTTAATTATAAAATTTTTTAGTACAACATAGTTTAATTATTTAAATAGCTTAAAAATTATCTAAATATTTTATAAAATGCTCTTCAAAAATTTGAACTAAAAATATTTACAATTCAAATTTTAAATTAATTTTATTTTTTCATTTTAAAAAGGCCAAAGTTTCATATTATCATAAAAATCAATCTAATTTTCATGTATTTAAGTAAATAATTTTAATAAAAAATAATTAATAACTCTAATTATACATAATTTTATTTTTGATATTTGGTTTCTAATAATTTTAAAAAATTAGTCATAATTGTAAATCATAATAGATCAACAACATCAAATAGTAAAAGATAAAAATAAAACTTATTAAGTAACTAAGTGCATAAAATAATTTTAACTACTTTTTTTGACTTTAGGTATGACGCTTTAATACATTTTTTTATTTATTTGCTTGGACAAGGTAGCTCTAGCGGACTTTTTATTACAATATAAGTTTAACAATGGAGTGATATTAGTGGTGATAATTTAAACCCACTATTTGTGAATGTTGAATCGTAAATAACTGAAAAAAAAGAGTATGAGATAAATATTAGAAAAGTAAATCGTATTAGAGAAGAAAATTGATAGGAAACAAAGAAAATTAATAGGAAAGGTTGAAGGAATTCTCTTAATTTATTATAATTAGGTATCATTGTATGGTAATAGTATAGAATTATTTTAGTTAGACTTTGCTTATTGATATTTTATTTAAATTATTTTTTAAAATTAATTATAAATTAATGATTTGAAATTCTCTAACCCCTGTAATTTTAAAAATAGATATATATATATATACCAAAATCTCTAGGTTTATTAAAAAAGCTCATATAAATATATTCTTGTTTAATAAATAGATAAATAGGTAATTTGTGTTAGAGTGGTAATTTGTGGTACAGTTTTATAGATATAGGTAATTTGTGGTAGAGTTTTATAGAAATTATTATATTTTCTTTAAATATATTCTTGTCTAATAAATAGATAAATAGGTAATTTGTGTTAAAGTTCTATAAAAACTCTTTTAAAAACTTTTTTTACATCAATTAATAATTTTTTTTTTTTTTTTTGTGATAGAGTTTTATAGAAATTATTTTACTTTCTTTAAATATATCCTTGTCTAATTAGATATACTTTTATTAAAAAAAAAAAAACTCATAATAAATAGATGAATATAGGTTATATGTGATAGAGTTTTATAGAAAATAAAATAGGTAATTTGTGATAGACTTTTATAAAAATAGGTAATTTGTGGTACAGTTTTATAAAAATTATTTTATTTTCTTTAAATATATCATTTTTTAATTAGATTTCTTTTTAATAAAAAAACTCGTAATAAATAGATAAAAAGGTAATTTGTTTTAGAGTTTTATAGAAACTATTTTAAAAACTCTTTTTATATCAATTAATAATTTTTTTATTAATAAATAAAAAGGGAAAAATAAGAAAATTAACTATTTAAATATTTTTAGTTAAATATAATAAAGAGAGAATGAGAAATTAGCATCCCAATAATGAAACCACTTTTTGTTGTTTTCCTTCTCAATATATTTGTGATTTTTAAAATAATGAAATTACTTTTTGTTGTTTTCCTTCTGAATATATTTCGTGATTTTTAATAGATATATATATAAACCTAATTGGAAGTATTTTTAGTCCAATTTTTTGAAAAATATTTTATAAAATATTTTAAGCTATTTAAATAATTAAACTATTTTGTTAAATAATGTGATATGAACTATAAATATCATATAAATCAAACTAATTTTCATATATTTAAGTAAATTAATTTAAATAAAAAATAATTATAAACTCTAAATATACATAATCTTATTTTTAATATATTTAATTTTCAAAAATTAGAATGCATATATGATGGGTAATTTGATAGAAAATATAAATTTTTGGAAAAGACAAACATCTAAAAAAATAAAAATAAAAATCATGTTTAAAATTATTTGAAGTATCAATAAATGTGTTTATACTAAACACACTAATTGACAAATGAAGTAAGAATACATCAAACATTAGTAATGAAATACATAATAAGAATTAATCAATAGATAGATAGATGATATTTTACTAATAGGCTCATAGCCTTATACACAAAAATATCACACTATGTTTTTACAATATACCTAAAAGTCATCCTTTAGATGCTTTATATATAAGATAATGCTTCAATCCTGCCCATCAAGACAAATTGTGTCATGCACACTAACGTGTCCCAATAAGAGGTTGACACTTCTTTTAAACTTAAAAAGATACAAAACATGGGTCATACCCATTTTTTAGAGTTAAACCTGATAAATCTATTTTTTCCTCTCTTTGCTCCCATCTGTGTATCTTGCTTCATCTACATCTTTCTTCGGCTTAAGATCCCTCTTGAAACTTTTCCAATCCCACTATGGCACCTCCTTACGGGTGGAGAGCAACCGGTACAAGAAGCACACCGCTTCTAATCTTCTTACTGAGAGAACAATCCTCTTTTAGACTTCTGCTGGATCACATCGATCCATACAATAGATTGTAGATACAAATTTGTTGCATAGAATATATCTCTCAAAGATTGATATGCAAATCAAATCTCATAACTAGAGTATAAATGAATACAAATGAAGCTTAATACTCTATGAATGATATATGTATGAGATGATGAATAAGATGAAGAATAAAATCTCTTTGATACTCAAGAAGGTTTCTCTATTTCTCTCTAATGCATCCCCATAATGTCCAAAACATTGTGTATTTATAACCCCTTGAAAAATATAGCCTTTAGGGGTAAATTAATTTTCCAAATCTGAAATTTTAGTCCATCTAATCGGTCACTTGAGTTATCTGTTGGTCTAAAGTGATCGGATATATGTTATACCTGTTCGGGCAGTTGGAGCATCTGATCGGTTAAATTATAGAAGTGATCAGTAGGATTAGATCTTGTTTCATCGCGCTTTCTAAAATTTGATCCATCTAATCGGTTACATAAAGCATCTGATCGCCCACTTGGACACATTTGATCGGTTACATTAGTGAACTGATCAGTCAATTGATAAACCACAAAAGATGCGAGTTCATTGGTTTTGGCATCCTATCAATAGTATGACTGATCTGGTCGGTCAAATGAAAAATAAATAAATTTTCTGGTTTAGTCATCTAATAGACAGCATGGGTTGCTACTTCTGCATACCTTATTTCCATTTAAAACATTTAAGTAAATAAGGAAGTACCCCCTATTTGGATTCAATAAAAAATACAAGAAAATTAAAATCTAACTAAATAAAAAAAATTTAGTTTTAGTACAAATTGGGGATCCCGAAAGTTTTGGTAAAACTTGATCCTCCATGTAGGCCTATGTAGAATTGATTGAAAATCCCATAAAATCAATTTAGGCTATTTAAAGTGTAAGGAGTAATTATCGGAAAAAATTATTTTGAAAATATCTTTATTTCAAAAAAATCATATTTTCCATACTTAGCTAAAAAACCAAGAAACAGTTTTTCATAAGAAATGTCCGAATCGTAAAGTCATTTACCAAGTCATGGTAACAAAGGTTTTGTAGATGAAAAAGTAAGTTCAATGCCTTAAACTCTACTTTTTAGAGACCAAAATAAAACATATGATCAATTGGTGTGCATGGCCTTACCATTTCTAGCTCAAGTATTGAATTCTTTCAAAGCTTATGCAAACTTGAACTAACTTATTCTTTTAGCAATGATTTCATGTGTCTATTGCTAGTGTATATAGGAACATGCATGTGAATGATGATATGATATGCATAGTCCTATAATGATGAGCTTCAAATGGATTCATAAATACTTTGACATTGAATCCTAAACACTCACCACACTATCTACTCATTTCTTCAAGCTTTGTTCATATATGATTGTTTAGGCTTTAAGGTATTCTTGCTTTCTTCCAATTTCTTTGAGTTGCTTGTTTGCTCATTAATTTTAGTCCGAGCTATCTTTGGATGAACTTTCAATATTTGGTTTCCTTGTAACTTAATTCATATCTCTTTGTATCCATTCTTTTCCATTAATGTGATCGCTTCATTGAGGTCAATTTTTAAAGACGAATCATCTATAACACTCAATGTATATAAATAAACATTAATCCACAAACACCATTAATAGTTTGTAATCACCAAAATCACTAGATTGTCCTTGATTAAAGGCTTTGTGCCAACAAAATCCTATGTACTTTTAAGATCTTTTATTCCATTTAATTCCCAAATAGCTAAATCTTTTATTAATACCCTTACTAAATAGAAGTAAAATTTTGTAGTTGTAAATTTATTTAAGATTTGATATATGATCTATATTTTTTATTATATCTTTAATTTTTAATTACTTATAAATATTGCATTATGGATTTATATATATATATATATATATATATATATGATTAATTTAAATTCAATATAAGAATGTTTGGTACGTTTTTTTTTAATCTTTTCTGTATGACAAGTAATAATATTTAAAAAGGGTCAAATTTAAAGGAAATGCCATTTTGGATTTTTATTAATAATTAATTAATTTGCTTAGGGATTCGGTGTTCTAGGCCTCTTATTTGAGGAATTATAAAAACTAAATAAATAAATAATAGTCAACAAAGATATCATAATTGCCATGAAAACAAATTCGTTGACAAAATGGTATTTCGCCACAAGGATTAAAAATTCGTGGCAAAATAGCTCCTAATTACCACGAAAACAAATTCGTTGTAAAAAAAGACATTTCGCCACAAGGATTGAAAATTTGTGGCAAAAGACACTATTTGCCACAAATAATGCATCATTGCGAATAACTAATAGATTTGGCATGAAAGTAATTTCGTGGCAATAGAGCATATCATAGGCATAACTAATAATTCATGGGAATATCCATCTTTTAGCCACGAGAAAAAAACTTCGTGCC